TCCGTTGGCACACACACATATTGTTACACATACACATCTTCATATATCTTCTTACGGATATCTTCTGTTCCATCTTGTGTTCTTATTTAATTTTAAATCCATTTAGTAGATTTAATTACACTTGTTGTCTATTCACAAGTAAATTAAGTTTGCAACAGAGATGGTGAACAACAAAAACAACAACAGTAGCAACAACAAAAAACCTCAACTGATAACTCTTTCTAAATTGTGGTCTATGTTAAAACAATCCCACATGAATATATCAAACGAACAAAAACAAAAAACAAAAAAAAAGAACAGTAACAACAGCAACAACAAAAAGAGAACTTTAATTTAATTTGTACTCCTCCCACCACAAACATTTTGAAACAGCAACAAGAACAGCAAGCTAGCACAAAAAATCATGCAAAATATGCCGCCAAACGTTCGTTGATGGTATGGCGGCCTTGTTCACTGACTGACTGTGTGAAGCCTTAATGTAGGCAACAGTTTTTTGCTGATGTTGCTGCTGCTGCTAAAGTTTAGTGATACTCTTGCAACACTCAGTGAAAGTGCCAGTGTGTGTGTGTGTATGTGTCAGCGAGTGTCGATGTGTGCATACAGTAGTAATTGTTTGTTGGTAGTGGTAGTAGTTTAGACCAAAAGTGTTTTACATTATGCACAATCACACACACATCATATGCAAACTGGCTGACTGACACCCACTCATACATTAACAGCAACAACAACATACATACATCCGTTTGACATTAAAGTTGCCACATACATCAATGTAGGATGGAGGGGCAGCCAGACTGAAAACGTGTATGTGTATGTCATGCTCTGAGTGTGTTACAATTAATTGTTATCTATATATAACACTACGCTATAGCAACAACACATTGCCATAAAGCAAAAAGCAGCAACAGCAACAATAACAACTTTTAATTTCATTATTTCGTTTTTTTTGTAGGGAAAACAGAGCCCAGAGCAGTCTCTCCCTTCCTTTCGGCTTGTCTGAGTTTTGCAGAAGCCAGAACCATAATTGATTGCAGATGTTCTTATTTGGTTTAGTTATGGAATTTCTGGCAAAAGAAAAAAAAAACAATTTAGGCCACGAATTTGTTAAGTTGTAGCTGCTGCTTTTCTTTCTGTGAGCCCCCATTAAAGTCCACTAATTCATTTGCTGAATTGTACCCTATACGGCAAGGTGGTTTAGGGTTTTTAGGGGATTGGATCAAAAAGTAAGATGAAAGTAGTGAAATAATTCAGAATCAACGCCTAAACGAAACGGCTTAAGCTAGAATTTAGTAATTTATCATGAGGACCAGTCTTGGTGCGTAGGAGCCTGGGTTTTTGGAAATTCGTACTGAAAGGGTACGAAAAATACTAAAATTTACTTAAAATTTAATATTTGGATTGGACAATCGGAATGAGCTAGAATTCTGAAATTTGGAATGCGAGTCACTAATGGAGTACAGGATTGGTGTACCAAAGGGTTTTCGAAAATTCGAAGTGAACGAATAAAGCCAACATTTTGAAATTTAGAATGAAAATCAAGGTTGGAAAGTAAGTTTGATGTACAAAGGTGGTTTCAGAAATGTTTGCTAAGTGCCCGAACTGTACTAAATGGTACTCAATTTTGAACAGTTTAGGGTAAACGAATGAAGCTGAAAATTTGAAATACTGTATTGGGGTCCCTGTTGGTGGTTGGTTTGCGATAGGGGGGTAATTTTGGAAATGTGTACCACAAGTGCACGAAAAATACTAAATAGTGCTATATTTGGTACAATTTGGTATTGGGTGAAACGATAGTGTTTTATATCTAAAATTTTGTGAAGCCTGAACATAGGAAGGTGGTTTGGGAAATGTTTACTATAATTGTACGAGAAGTACTGAATGGTACTATATTTCGCATTGGTTATGGGGATAGAGATACAATTCTGAAATTTGATATTATATAAGATAAGTAATGTTATCTGCGTTTGAGATTTAGCGGTGGTATATAAATGCGTCCTATATTTTGTACGAAAAGTACTAAATGTTATTAAATTTGGTATTGGATGAAGGGATACGGCTGGAATCCTTAAATTTGATATATTTGTCGCTGTTGATTTCTGTGGATAAGCTATGGAGGGGGTTTTGAAATGCGTATTGTATTTGTACGAAAAGTACTAAACAGTACTAAATTTGTCATTGAGAGAATGATTCGAGTTGGAATACCGAATTTTGTTATTGAGGTCACTTGGTCTCTAGGTTTTAGATATGGAGACGGCCAATTTTTATTATGAAAAGAAGTTGAAATAGTCCAATTTTTTCTTGTTGCAAAATTGTCAGGCTTAATCCCTTTATTGTTGTTTTTTTTTATAAAAACAACGATTGTTTATTTATTAATTTTTTCTTAAAAAATTCAGGAAAAAAATAACTTGTAAAAGCCTTCGTGAAAAATTTACGTTTGGAGCTTTAAAAGTCCTTGAGAAAAGTTCTATAAACCCTACGAGCTCAAGAAGTTTTAAAAGTCCAGTCATTAGAAGTAGCTCTATTAAAACATCAGCCTTTTTTGAAAGTTCTCTAACAGCCATTTTCTCAAAAATTCATGTCGTAAGTCCTTGGCATGTCTAAAAGTCCTTGTCAAAATTCCTTTAAAAAATCTACATTTTCAGTTCTAAAAGTCCTCTAACAGTCCTTAAAAATTCTCAAAAATCCACATTAAGAACTGAAAGTCCTAGGCAAAATTCTTCTAAATTCACTTTGAGAATACTCCACGAAAATTTATTCTGGGAACCCCACGTTGAAAGCTATAGCAGTCCTTGTCGAATTTCCTTAAGAAAAAAAAAACACGTTTAGAGCATTTGATGTACTTGGCAACATACTACTTAAAGTAGACACAATTCAAAATTCTTCTTAAAAAATTTATATTTAGACACCTGAACATTTTCTAACAGGCTTTGAATAATTATTCTTGAAAATCCGCATTAAGAGCTCGGACATCCTTGGCAAAGTTCCTTAAACAACCGGGATTAATTCTGCAAAGTTCTTATTTAAAAATGCACGTTTTTTGAGTTCTAAAAGTCATTGAAAAAGTCTTCTCATAAATGTACCCTTAGATTCATAAAAGTCCTTAGAGTTACATCTGACGATCTTTTAAAAACTCTCTTTAAAGTCCACGTTTCGAGTTCTAGAAGTTCTCGGAAAAAATCCAAGTTGGTATCTCTGAAAGTCTTTAAAATAAAAACACGAATGGAGTCATAAAATCCTTGACAAAAATTGTTAGAAAAAATCAAATCTGGTACCTCTTACAAACTTTAGAAAACCCAAGTTAGAGTTTTAAAGCTGTCAACGTCCTTGATAAAAAGTCGTTTTAAAAACCAACAATAAAAAGCTCTAAAAGCCCTTGAATAAAATCTTATTGAAAATAAACGTCCCTTTTATAGATCCATCTTTATAATAGTCCTTAGACAAAAAACCCACCTCTGACAAACTTTTTTAGAGTCCTAAAATCCTTTGAAAAATCCCTAAAAATCACTTTGGTGCGTTTAACAATCTATAAAAAACCCCATGCCTAAAGTCCTAAAATTATCAAAAAAGGCCCTGAAAAAAGTCAACGTTGGTACCTCTGACGGCCTATTAAAATCTCTTCTTAAAATTCACAATTAGGGTCCTAAAATTCTTCAGGAAAAATAAACATTGGTACATCTAATAATCATTGTAGAACCCCTGCTTAGAAAAAATTAATGCTGCTAGATTTGACAGTATTTTAAAAAAACTGTTTTTAAAGTCCACGTTTCGAGTCCTAAAAGTTCTCGGAAAGAATCCAAGTTGGTACCTTTGACCCACTTTTAGAGCCCTAAAATCCTTGAAAAGAGTTTTTAGACAAACTTAAAGTTGGTACCTTTTACAGTCTTTTAGAAACCCACGTTTGGAGTCCTGAAAGTCCTCAGCAAAAATCGAAGTTGACAATCGTTTAAAAAACCCACGTTTAGGGCCCTTAAATCCTGGAAAAAAGTTTTTAGACAAAATTAAAATTGGAACCTCTGACAGTTTTTATTAACCCACGTTTAGAGTCATAAAAGTCTTCAGAAATAGAATCGAAATCAATGTTCGTACCTCTGACAGTCTTAAAAAAACCCACGTATAGAGTCCCAAAATCCTTGAAAAAGTTTTTTGAAAAAAATCAAGTCTTGTACCTCTGACAGTTTTTTTAAAAAAACTGCTTCAAAGTCCACGTTGGTTCCTGATGAACTTTAAAAGCCCAAGTAAAAAATTCTAAAATCCTTGAAAAAAATTCTATTGAAAAAATCCAAAATCTCTGACAGTCTTTAAAAAACTCTTTTTAGAACCCACGTTAAGAGTCCTAAAAGTCCTCAATAAAGCTCAACGTTGTTACCTCTGACAGTCGTTGCTATTTTTCCTAAAAAATCACATTAAGAGCTGTGAGACTTGAAAAAATGTTAACTTAAAACAGCATATAGATTTAAAAAAAAAACAACACGTTTAAAGATCTAAAAGTCCTCACATCTCTTTTCAGGGTTTTGAAAATACTCTCTTCACAAAAGAACGGTTTGCATTTTGGGTTTCCAAAAATGTTCAATACAAGTTAAAAGAAATCACTGATGTAAAATTTGGAATTTTCCAATTCATAATCATAACTGATCATAACTTAGCTATCGTTTAGGGCATTTGCACAATTCCTACTTGTTTTATATCCGCTTTATTCAATCCATCCCCAAAAAATTTAAACAATTTGCACTGCCTGTAATGTAAACAAGTAGGGTATGACACAGTCGCCTAAATTCCTCTCCATTCTAATCGCCTTTGCCCACATTCCACATGCATCTCTTTAATGACCCACCATATGGTTTTGCGGTGGCACACTTTTTTTTTACTTTTGGTCTGGTTTTTGGCTCGTGCCAGTCAGTGATGATCACTGGCTAATTTGTTTGGTTTTCAACACAACAACAATAACAACAAGTAATTTTAGTTTTTGTTGCCTCTTTGGTTTTTTTTTTGGCACATCTTACCACAATTATTGCCTTTGGTCACAAATGGGCGTATCGTCGGATCCCATATGAATATATAATACAGCGACAGCATAATGGCGGCCAACGAGACGCACAGCACATAGACGGCAACCGTTAAGATGCGAATGACCTTACGATTGCCCTGCGGCTGATAGCAGCGACTAATTGTTTCCGTAGGCGGCAGTTTGACTTTTTCCTCTAACGAGCCCACTTTGGAATTCATGTTGGCTGACTGACTGGCTGGGTGACTGTGTCGATGCTATTATGCTAATGTCAGAGGGTGTTGCGCGCTCTCGTCCCACGTTTCACTTTTGAACACTTGTTGTAATGTATTTAAAAATAATTTATCGTTTTCAATTAGCTTTTGGTTTGTAATATAACTAAAATTCTGTTTAAAATAATTTCCATTGACGTTTGACGATATTTTTTTTTTTTATTTTTTAAATAATTTTATTTTTATTTTTGATATGTTAAATTGCTTTGCTTTTCAATATTTTTTTTAAGTTGTTATAGAAATAAATGCATTGAATTTCTTTTTGTTGTTTTTTTTTTGGTTCACTTAAAAATATTTCTCGTAATTTATTTTTGTGTTTTTTTTATTGTCGTTGATTGAAATGTTTTCTTTTTCGGTTTTATTTCCTTTTTTTGGTGGAAAACAATTCTGGCGTTACATTTTATTTCTTTTCATTTGTTTCTGTTTATATTTTTTGCTGTTGTTTTGGTAATATTAAATTTTGTTGCCTTTCAATATTTGCATTGCATGCTTTTCCATTTAAAAAAATTGCCGTTAACCGTTCCTGTTGTTGTGGCCGTGGTGCCACACGTTTCGTTTCGTTTTCTTTGCGAGCCGACAACCAACCGTCTCCGTGTGCAACTGCATTTGTAATGATTCGTCGTCTGTTGGGCCAAAGTTATCCGTTTTGTTGTGAATGTTTTGCTCCATTCGTCCACGCGGATATGTGGCTCGCTCAGAACTTAGCACAACACACTTCGTGTCCGGTGAGCGCAAATGTTGCAAAGAGTTGAAACTCTTTGATTATGCTCTCTCTTTTTCGTTCGCAATTCTCTTATAACTTCTCCAGCAGTTACTACAACTTTATAACAATTATTGAAAATTGGCTTTCACTCTTTCTCTCTGTTCCTTGAGACTCATACCACTCACTCTCTTGCAACATGTGTTGAGCACTGTAAAGAAATTTTTCTAACATTTTCATTCTCTTCTTTTAGCTTTTGATGAATTGGCCACAGTAATTAGTAAGGCAGCCCAAAAAACCACCCACACAATGGAAAGTAACAGTATTCGGCTCAGAGCCCCGGAGCTTCACCGATTTTTTCTCATAGGGAAAAATGTAAACTCGAAGCTTCAGCGATTTTATTTTCTAAAGGGAAAAAATGAAGACTCGAGGTCTCACCAAATTTTCCCATAGAGAATTTTTTTTTTTTGGAAGAAAAAAAAATGGAGACATAAGGCCTCATTGATTAGATAGCTCTATATTAAATTTCGGGATTCCATCTCTATCCGTTCTCCCAATTTAGTACCGCTTAGTACTTTTGGAACAATTATAGTACACATTTCCAAAACCACCTCAATATCCTAACCACAGACAGAAACAGTGCCCATCTACATCAAATTTCAGGATTTTACTTCTACCAAATTGAGTACTTTTCGTACAATTTCTGTACACATTTCATCAATCACCTACATATCTCAATTCCAGATACCAACAGAGACCTCAATATCATATATCGGGTCTCCAGCTCTATTCCTTCACCTAATACTTTTCGAACATTTATGGTACACAGTTCCAAAACCAGCAGACTCCAACAGTAACAGTCATATCAAAATTTCAGGATTCCAGCTCCCTTCCCAATACCAAATTTAGTACTTTTCGTACAATTTTGGTACATATTTCAAAACCACCTATATATATGAAACTTACTTTCCAACCGAAATACTCAAATTACTAAATTTCAAGTTTTTAGCTCTATCCTTTCTCATAATACCGAAAGGTACAATTTTAGAACTTTTCATAATCTTAATGTTCGAATTTCCAAAAATCCTTCATTACGTCTATCCTGCATTCCATCAGTGACTCTCATTCCAAATGTCAGAATTCTAGATCATTCCAATTGTCCCATACAAATTATTCAATACACACTAAGAATGACCCTCGTTTCAAATTTCATGATTTTGGCTTCAGCCGTTTAGTCTGGCGTTAATTCTAGATCAGTCAGTCAGTTATTTCACTAGTCTTTATATTAGGAAAAAATTGAGACCCGAGTTCTCAAAAAAAAAAAAAAATATTTCCAACAGGAAAAAATCTAGACCCGAGGTCCCTGTTAGTTTTCTTATTAGAGAGGAAGAAAATTATGACCACCCCTAAATACTGTGCCATCTAATGTTCTCCCTCTCCATTACCACCTGTATTACAAAATACTTTGTTTTTTATTGTTTTCCCCGTTTTGTTTTTATTTTATGGAGTCGAACACTCTTCTCATTGTGTGTGTTTGTGTTCATCTCGTTCTAAGTAGATTTTGTTTTGTTATTGCTTTTGTTGCCTCTAAGAGCAACCGACGAGTTGTAGGTAGAATTGGTACTTCTCTCACACTCTTATCGTCTCACACTTTCCAGCTGCTCTTCATACAACGACATAGCGGATAATGATTTGATATGGAAATTAGTGTGTTCTTGTGTGTTTGTTTTGTTTTTGGTAGGGGAGTGGGTGGAGTGCATTCCTTTGATGGCATTCTCTCACTCTCCCGCACTCTTCTGCTCATCGCACTTAGTTGCAAGTTGTGCAGTTGTGAGTGTCTGATTGTTTGTGAGTTTGGGTGATTTTTTTTTTTTAATTTCTAAAGAATTTTTTTTTTGTTTGTCTATCTGTCGGCCGTTTTGACGTTTTGTAATTGTTGTTATTGTCGAATATTTTTTTTTGGCTTTATTACAAGCACACGCCACACGAATGTTGTGGGTGGTGTGTTAGTGCGATGCTGCTAATGACGCTGATGATTTTTAGGTGTTGATGTTGATATGTTTTTCGGTCTGCATTTGAATGATTTCCATTCATATTTTTCTTGACATTTGAAATGAAAATATTTTCACCGTTAGACGGTTTTGCGTATTTTATTTTCAGTTTTGTTTTTGTTTTTTTTTTTTCAAAATATATATTTTTTCCTTTTGGATTTGAGTAAATATTTTGCTCTCATTGAATGTAAACAAATTTCCATTGAATGGTCTGGTCATAGTCAGACGTCTTAGTGCTGTGGGTGAATTTTTCGTTGTTATTTGTTGAAACCATAAATTAAAAGATCAGCAGATTTTCATTTCTCATCAAAGAATTTCCATTAATTGTTAATGAAAATTTCAAATATTTATACAAAAAGAGAAGAAAAAAATGTTTTATTTAGAAACCAGATGTTTGTCTAATTGTTATTGACAAACAAATATTTCGAATGAAGAATTCCACTTGCCGCCTAAGTGAGGAAGGAAGGAAATGAAAAATTATATTTACACTAAGTCGAAAGATGTCGTAAATAAGAATCTTTTAAAGGAAATGCGGTTGTAGACACATTTTTTTTGTGGAAATTGATTTTGATCTGTTGTGGTTAAGTTGTCTATCGATTTAAGACATTTTAGAGGTTTTCTATAGAAGGGGTTACATGATAAGACAATTCACATACAGACTGCTGCCACTTCTAAGCCACTCGTCCGACAGCTGTTAAAATTATTCCAGTAACAGATCTGTATACAGGATGAAATAAAATATTGCAATAAAGTCAAAGGCCATAATTTTTACATTTTATTGAATGAAAGCAAAAAATGTCGGAAATTTTAGAATATGTTTAGATTTGTTCGAATTGGTCACCTTTGGCACGAAATATGGCCTTCAAACGACCAATGAAACCGTCACACGCTGCTCGAATGTTGCTCTGAGGTATTTTGATCCATTCCCGGCGAAACACCTGCTTGAGGTGATCGACACTTCGGTATTTTTTAGTGCTAACCTTGCTTTCTAAATTCTCCAGACACAATAGTCCAACGGATTGGTATTCGGAGATTTTGGTGGCCATTGTGCGCTGAAAAAGAAGTGAGGAACCTCATTTTGTAACCATTTTTGGGTGGTGCGTGCTGAGTGCGATGGTGTCCTGTTAGATTGTCCAAGGTGCCAAAATGTTTGCGTGACCAAGGCTTTAATACACCCTCCAGAATATTTTTCGCGATAATATGCGGCATCTATTCTGATGCCATGGTCGATAAATATGAGCGTAAAGCGACCATCGGCCTGAGTTCTAATGGCCAACCGAAGGTGCACATTTTCAGCTGACGTTTTTGGCAAGTAAACACGATCATTTCGTTTGTTTACAAACAGCTGGACAACGAATGTTTTCTCATTAGAGAAAACCAAATTCGGCAGTTCACCATTTTCGGCCAAGCAAAGCAACTCTTTAGATCTTTTGAGACTATTTTCTTTTTGGAATTTCAATGGCTTAACCCCGAGCTCATTTTTCAGCGGTTCAGCGGTTTTTGAGTCTATAAAATACAAACAAACAATCAAAGGTACAAACATGTTCTTCTTTTATAGATATAGATTTAAATCTTAGTGGTAAAGATTACATATGTGTAAGGTCTGAAAATAGAGCTGATTTTCTTATTCCATATTCTTTTTCACCACAGCAAACGTATGCCATAGTATATCGTTATGTTCACATTTACTGTCCCTTATTGGATTGGCGAATTGAGCCTGGTGGCGTATGATAAATGCTCATACGTCACCCTGTTTGCAATTTACTTAATATCTTTCTCTTTTTCTAAGCGAAAGAAAATATATTCATGGAGATTTTAAGAATGGAGATGATCAGTTGAAGAAGTGCACCTTCAGTTGGCCACCAGAACTCAAGCGCCGGCCATGGTGATGGTGTGGGCCGCCATAATAGCCGATGGTTGTTCTCTGCTCGTATTAAACGACCGTGGCAGAGGAATAAATGCTGAATATTATCGCGAAAATATTCTGGAGGGTGTATTAGAGCCTTGGGCACGCAAACATTTTGGGCGGAGATCTTGGACATTCCAACAGGACTCAGCGCCATTGCACTCAGCACGCGCCACCCAAGAATGGTTACAAAATGAGGTTCCTCGCTTAATTTCCAAGCGCCATCAAAATATCCGGATACCAATCCGTTGGACTATTGTGTCTGGAGTATTTTTGGAAAGCAAGTGCCGAATCACCTCAATCACCTAAGTGTCGATCACCTCAATCAAGCGCTTCGCCGGGAATGGGCCAAAATACCGCAGAGCAACATTCGGGCAGCGTGTGATGGTTTCATTGGCCGTTTGAATGTTATATTTCGTGCCAAAGGTAACCAACTCGAACAAATCTAAACTTATTCTAAAATCTGATGCTATTTCCGACATTATTTACTTTCATTCAATAAAATTAAAAAAAATTGCGAAAATTATGGCGTTTGATTTTGTTGCAGTTTTTATACCCTCCACCATACTATGGAGGTTATATTAAGTTTGTTATTCCGTTTGTAACTCCTCGAAATACTCATGTCAGACTCAACAAAGTATATATATATTCTTGATCAGCGTAAAATTCTAAGTCGATACGGCCATGTCCGCCTGTTGCATTCACGCTTTCTTTCGAACGAATTGAGATAGAAGGCTAAAATTTTGCAAATATGTTTATTTTTCCAGTAGACAGGATAAGTTCGTAAATGGACCATGTAGGTCCACGTTTTCATATAGCCCCCATATAATGGTACCAGTACCGGTATTCACCGGAATTGTTTCAAATTACGTGTTTAGAGTTCGTTATTTAAACTACAGTCTGTGATAGAAAATTGTCTATGCAGGTCCAGGTCTTCGTATAGGCACCATATATCAGTACCTCCCTATATTCGGTATGTTGACGAGTTTAGGTACAATACCCACCGAAATTGTTTGAGATGTCGTATTTGAAGTTCGAATTGGATGCTATAGCCTGTGACAGAAAATTGTCTATGCAGGTCTAGGTCTTCGGACAGCTCCGATATATCAGTACCTCCCTATAT